CTATGCTTGCACTGAATCTGGTGAAGGAATCAACTCATCAGCAGCGGCCACCTTCAGGGGTGCGCCACACAAAGGTTAAAATTTATTTAATTCCTAAACTCAACTAAGATTTTATCACAAACTTTATTATGTGTTTACTTAATTATATAAGTATATTGTTATGGTATAATGGGTGCTAATGAGGCATACAGTCCCTGTATACTTGAATGTTTTAAACCAGAGTACCTGATCTCCAGCTTTTAGTGACATTTAAACAGTTTGTTTCGAATAAGATGGTCCAAATGAACTGTTAACTTAATTAAGAGATGCAGTGACTGTGTGCAGTAGCCTCAGCTAAATAGAGTATACAGCAATGTGTATCAGCAGCAACAATGTGTACACACTGGCTGCATCTCTTAGGCTACTTTAACACTGCTCTGCTGAAAATTGCTGTAAAAATGCATGTGCATTTTTATCCCATTTTTGCCTTGTTTCCAGTGCATTTTTCACCTGATATGTGACTCAAAAAATGCATCACAAACGCAAACAAACTATTTAAACTTCAGCAATAGCTGGAGATCAGCTTTAAGCCAGATTTTGCTTTCACTGGACAACAGCCTTACCTTGATTTGCCTAACATATCAGTGCATGATAAATAGACGGCTAAAAGGCCTAAACACAAACGTGCTACTGCAACACACGTTAGTGTGTAGCGTGTTGAAGTGTCATTCATTTTTGATGGTACACCAATGCACTATAGCCATGCGTTTCAGCCCAGTGCACAGTATTACACTATGATGCATCGTGGTGTGCTGCATCCAGAAAAATGCTGTGTGTCCAGTGTTTGATCCATCATAATTAATGAGCTACCTTTATGTAATGCACAGGAACAGAGAGGTGTTAAAGGGCCCTTAAAGGAGAAAAAACACGCACCCTTATCAGCTTCCCCATGCCTTCTGCAGCTACCATGATGCTAAATAGCAGTTTGTGGCATGTATGAAATGTGCAGTGTGACCTGAATTCTCCTAATAGTATATGAATCTGTTGTGACAGCTAGGAAGCAAGCAATCCCCTTTCATATAAATCCAGAATTCCTTCATTTCAGGACAAGTCTAATCAATGCATTTCACAATCCTGAGTATCAGCAATTTAGCCTACATTTGTAAACAAATTAAATCTGAATCCCAGGAAACGTGAAAATTCTCCCTTGAGGTGGGGCAGCACTCGCACTACAAGGGCTAACTGCTTATTTAGGTATACGGAAAAGGTCTTGATGGTTTTAAACCAAAAATGGTGCTGGACCCACAGTGCTGCATTGGATGCGAAAACGCAGAGAAACAGTCCAGCTCTGGAACATGGAAGCCTTCTGCCACAAGAGCAGATGATCAGGTAAGTAAAAGTTCTTTTGCAGCCCCTAAATTAACACTTTCAACACTATAGGACGTACCCATATGTCTTCTGGTTGAAGTGGGGATACCGGGGCCATGGCTGCAACTGCCTCAGTATTCCCATGATCGAGAATGTCTCTATTATCTCTGTTATGTCTCGATTATCTCTATGGTCTAAGAAACCAGAAGTGATGAGTATTTTGTCACTTCCGGTTTTGGTTTTGTATTTACTGGCTGGTTACTGGCCAGTGAAGCAGCCAATCAGACAGATCTGTGTCTCCATAAAGAGAACCTGTCATGGCCCAGGTTGTTCATCCCTTGTGACAGAAACAAAACTGAAAAAAAAGAAACAGTGTAGAAAAAACTTGTAAATAAAATACTAAATGAAAAAAATTGAAGGTACCCCCACCCCCTGTGCTAGCGTGCAAAGGTGAATGCATACGTAGGTCATGAACACCTATGTAAATGGTGAATGCACCACACATGTTAGGTATAGCCACAAACATTATAAGAAGAGCAATAATTCTAGCCCAAGACCTCCTATGTAACTTTAAACTTAGATTTTTAAGTACCGTAGTTTTATGCCTTTCTACAAGCGTGCACAATTTGACATATTAGGTGTATATTTACTTATTTGCATCAAAGTAGTACAGGCACTTTTCTTTAACCCTTTTCCTAGCACTAAAATATGTCATATGTCAGCAGCAGTGGGGGGTTTTTGCAAATACTTCCAGCTTCTGGGAATATGTATAAATGTCACTAGCCATCTGTCGACTTTCAAATGAAAGTGATCCAGTCAACGTACAGCTGTCGGATCGTTTCCATGCACAGAACCTCTTGCCCCCCAACATGTACACACTATCCCCCCTGTAGGTCCAGGTCCTGCATGGTGGGTGTCACCCAGTAGAAGGAAGGGAGATCAGCCTGTTACTGATCTCTCCTACAGTAGCTAGTCAAAACCAGAAGTGACAAGGATTTAGTACTACACTTCTGACTTCTGCTGTTACATTCACCAGATTTTTTGGCCTGGGAAGAAGCTAATGGAGCAGGATCTGTGCTCCATTAACTCCAGTGGAGTGGGGGGGGGCATTAGGAGTCTAATAGACCCCTAATGTCTCATTAACCACTTCACATCTCACACCTGTTCACCCCCTATAGACCAGAGCAATTTTACACTTCTGCTATGGACCTGTTTGTTTGGCAATAACTTTGTCATTACTAAAGATAACAAGGTAATACATATATTGTTTTTTAAGGACAAACCAGGCTTTCTTTTCATTATATTATCATGAAACAATTCTTTTTTTCCTTGCAATCCTTAGACAATAAAATGCAACAAAACCAAATAAACACACTTTTTTGAGCAGGGTTTTAAAATAAATAGTATTACTGTAGAAAAAAGCATGTATTTTATTCTTTAATTTGTCCTGTTTAAAGTGATACTAAAATTTTGATTCTGGTACAAAGTATTGCAAAGTTATTTACAAATTAATAAAGTGTTTTTTTTCTTTAGTTGTTTACTTTTTAAATGGAAAATGTGTAAATATACGTTAAATGTGTAAAAATACAAACAAACAACAACAAAAAAAGCTTACATATTAATAATTAGTTAATACAATAGAAATAAATGGAAAAAAAAAATTAACAGGAAAAGAGACCAAGGGATAATAAGGGGTTACATTTTATAAAAAAAAAACAAAACTTTTTTGTACTTGTCAGTTTGCTTTACTTGCAACATCTGCAGATCTGTTGATCTCTTTTATCTGCAGATAAATGAAAAGAAAGCTACAAATGTAATGTTTGGTTGTATCTTTGTATATTTGCAGTCTGAACACTGATTTTATAAACACTTATTCAGATTGCTTTTTTGCCAGCTAGATTTTCTGGCATTACAATATACTCAGAGAAAAAGTTGGTTTACTGAAAAGGGGGGTCCTGGAAGTAGAGCAGAGAAAATGCATGTGCTACACACGCCCTGTGTACAATGTTAATTTGTTTTGGGAGTGTGTATCACACCCAAAGTCTGCAACTAGTTAAAGAGAACCTGTCTCTATAAGTATGCTATTACATAGGGCACTTCACTTTCGTGGGAAAATAAAATTAGAAAGAAAACAAATTATTGTGACACAAGTCATATTGTAATTGAATGTTATTAAAAATGACCTTTGCTTTTCAATCTGCAATGCTGTAATTTTCTGTAAAATGCAAAGCATTATGGCTACCTGGAGGTGTTCTGTACACAGACGGTGTACAGAACCCCCCCAGATATGTAATCTCCTACTTGTGTGGTTGGCTCACTGATTTCCCCAGAAGTCTGCACTAATATACAAGAGAATTTCAGCAACCCCTGCAACAAAATGTCATTTTTGGTGTGATACTGCAGGTGAGGTGCAGCAGTTGATAGATAATTGTAAAATTACTCCCATTGACATTCACTCTGCACGTGGACACAGATGAACAAACACTTTTTCGGAATTAAAAAAAGGTAGGACTCTGCAACAATGTTTGTTAAAATCCTTGCAATGTATATATAGATCACTTAGAAGGGTACAGTTTTTTATCAACAAATGCGGAGTTACTATTTAAGTGGAAAAAAAAGAGTAAAGTACACCCAAGTACTTAAAACCCCTCCAAAAGAGGTTTGAGTTCCCCAGTCCTCATGTACATATTTACATAAACGGACACACTGGGGCACCTACATAAAAAACTGCACCAAGCAGGAGTGACAGCAATAATTCTAGAGCTGTTATTCACAGTTAACTCCAAAGCGGATGACCTTGACCTTTTAAAGCATCACCTACAGTATGGAAAATACTGAGTACCGAAGCTTGTTGTTGTTTCATGGACACTTGTGTTTTAACTTCTTCCACGCCACTGTATAGCAGATATACTGCTACATGGTAGCACCTGTGTGCAAAATCACGTATATATACGTGATTTTGCATTTGCGCGCCCCCTACCTACCCGTGCCGCCAATCGCAACCACAGATGGCAATAACTGGGTGCCAGCTGGTAATTACCCACCGGCGCCCGGTGATTACCGACAATCACCGACGGCGAGGAAGACTGTTTTGTTTACAAACAGTCTTCCTCCCTGTCAGCTCAAGCACACTGCTCAGGATGGCTGATTAGTGTGCTTACAGTAAAGCACACACAACCCAGCCCCTACTAAAACACTCCCAGCACATAGATAACCCTCTGATCGCCCCTCACATTAATCCCTTCCTGCCCAGTGCCATTAGTACAGTGTCAGTGCTTTTTTTTTTAGCACTGATCACTGTATTGGTGTCACTGGGGTGTCAGTGACACCAAGTTAGTTCCCCCCCAGTGTCAGAATGTCTGCCGCAGTCCTGCAGTCCTGCTAAAAGTTGCTGATCGCCACCATTACTAGTAAAAATAATCCCATTATCTATACTGCCATTTGTAAACGCTATAACTTTCACGTAAACCAATTAATTTACACGTTTTGGGATTTTTTTTTTTTAGCAAAGACATGTTGCAGAATACATTTTGGCCTAAATTTACCACGAAATTTGATTTTTTAAATTTTTTTACTGGACATGTTTAATAGCAAAAAGTCCAAAATATTGTTTTTTTTTTTGCTTATAGTGCAAAAAATAAAAACCTCACAGGTGATCAAATACCACCGATAGAAAGCTCAGTTCATGGGAAAAAAAGGACGTAAATTTCACTTGGGTGCAGCATTGCATGACTGCGCAATTGTCAGTTAAAGTAATGCAGCGCCTTTAACCACTTCCTGCCCGCTATATAGTCCAATGACTGGCGCAAGGTGGTTCTCTCGTTCTGGGAGGACATCAAATGACGTCCTCCCATTCTCACCACGCATGCGCAGCTCAGTGAGCGTGCAGCGTTGTGTCCTGATGATCAGTGTGGCCCCAGAAGTGCCACCTGTCAGTGTCCATCAGTGCCAGCTGCCAATGCTGAACAGTGCCACGTCCCAGTGCCACATCAATGCCACCTATCAGTGCCTACCAGTGCACATCAATGCCACATATCAGTGCCCATCTGAGCTGCCTTTCAGTGTCACCCATCAGTGCCAGTCAGTGCCACCTATCAATGCCAATCAGTGCCGCCTATCAGTGCCAGTCAATGCCGCCTATCAGTGCGCATCAGTGCCCATTAGTGCCTCCTATCAGTGCCAGTCAGTTCCGCCTAACGGTGCCAGTCAGTGCCGCCTATCAGTGCCATATATCAGTGCTGCCTTTCAGTGCCCATCAGTGATGCCTGTCAATGCCCATCAGTGCCACCTACCAGTGCCACCTATCAGTGTCCATCAGTGCAGCCTATCAGTGCCCATCACTGCAGCCTCATTAGCGCACATCAGTGAAGGAGAAATTTACAAAATTTTACAACAAAAACTAAGAAAATACTTTTTTTTTCAAAATTTTCAGTTTTTGGTTTGTTTAAGAAAAAATAAAAAACCCAGAGGTGATTAAATACCACCAAAATAAAGCTCTGTCACAAAAAAAAGAATAAAAATTTCATAATGGTACAGTGTTGCTTGACCGCGCAATTGTCATTCAAAGTGTGACAGCGCTGAGAGCTGGAAATTGGCCTGGGCAGGAAGGGGGTATAAGTGCCCTGTAGGCAAGCGGTTAATGCAAAAAATAGCCTGGTCAGGAAAGGGGGTAAATCCTCTGCAGGGCAAGTGGTTAAGTTTCGAGGAATGTTGGTTATCTATTTACACCAGAAAACCTCTTCCTTTATATTTTAACATAAAATAGGGTAATATGTTTTGTTTATGCGCAATTAAAATGAACTTTAGTGTACATTTTTACTGAAAATTTGCACTTGATAAACCATTGCCCTAATATTGCATGACATAAACAACTGAAACTACCCTCATTATTTTCTTCAGGGGCTCTGCTTTCAGAAAATATATACTATTTGGCGATTGTAACTAATCTTCAGGCCTAAAATGATTATTTTAACTTGTGTGTAAAAGAATACAGCTCTGGCAGCAAAAGAGTTAAGCTCCACCCCAATAAGAGCATCTGGCTACCCATTATAGATGAATGCAACTAAATCTCTGATCATAGATTTGACATTCTTACACCAGATGCTGTGGTTCATCACCCACACTTAGTGCATTTAACACCGAAAGGTGATCCTCAGACTAACAATCCAGCTTCTTGGGAGAGATACCGTACCAGTCCATAAATAAAGAGGTCCTTTTACTACTGAATCCTTTTTTTATGTTTTAGCAAATTTCAAAATGTACATTTTAGGCCTGAAGAATCCAGAAATCACTGTAAACATAATGTTTCTGGAAGCAGAGACCATGTACTATAAAATGGTGAAAATTTATATGTCACATGATTATTGTGCTACTGTTTACCAACCCTACACTGTCAATAAAAAATTAAATTAACTTTAATGCACACAAACATTATATAATACTCAATTGCTGGTAAAATATAAAAAGGAAGTTGCATCAAGTAAATATCATAATATGTCAAGCCTAAAAATTGCACATACCCATGAAACAGCAAACAACTCTGATACCAAGAAATGCTCATTGTTATTGCTTTAAATAGCCTTTACAGCTCAGTTAACAGTAAATATTGTTTCTACAATTATTGCTATCACTCTGGCATGCACAATAATACCTGATATGTGTGGTGCAATCATAATTTTCGTCCTCGTGAGCACCTGACGTGTGTTTGCATTCATAGGGGTGTATGGGGGGCCTTTAAAAGATTTTTTTTTAAACCTTTTCTTTTGTAATGTAATTTTATTGCATTCAGAAAGGTCTGGTAAGACATCTTTGTAATAGAAAAGTGCAGGTGACAGATTCTCATCAAGGAGACATCAGGGATTTATTGGGCTCCTAATGTGACCTCTGCGCTCAGTTGAAGCTGACTGAGAACAGACAGTTGAGCACTTTCAGGTTCATACTTCACAGGGGTAGATCAGTGAATGGATGTAGCCAGCCAGAGCTTTGATTTTTATTTGTGTCTGGGTTTGTAAGTTTTTCCCTAAGCCCAGGACGTTGTTTCTGCATATCGGGGAGTATTGTCCCAAGGGATAGAGTAGATACAGTGTTATAGGTTATGAATATTTATTTCACCCTGACCAATCACTGCAACGTTTATGCCAGTGATGCAAGCAGGCAAAAGGGATAAATATTTTTGGAGACTTTCTAGAAGGGTTCTTCCCTCCAAGGCTTTGACTGGAGAGATAGTGAGAAGGATCCTGACCTTTGCTACCTGGGCTCCTGCACAAAGATGAGGTTCTTTGTTTCCCAGGCCTGTTGCCAGGGGAAGACATAGTTCCAGGGCCAAGGCCCAAAAATTGGAAGCTGGTCAATGCTAGGGCCTGGGAATATAGAAAGATGGCTACTGAGGGGGAGCATCTTCAGAAGAGCTGATCTCAGTCTGTTACCAGTCTCATCTTAAAGGACCGCAACTACAGCTTGCCTGTCTTGGCTTAGGAGTTCACAACTACAAATTAATGGTCTTGGCTTAAAGGTTTATTTTTAACTTGTGAGGGGCTGAAGATATGTATACTAGAAGGTATTACTAAGCAGTGGCTCTTCAAGGTGATATTTGATAAGAGCTACACTGAGAGCAAAGTAATATTTGGTTATATCTATAATGAGACCAAACGATACTATGTTTCTGTTAACAACAGAGTTGGAAGGAACTAAGAAATCCACCTGTCTCAACAAATGGTATTATGTACCTACTGTCCACAATCCTGTAGACCCGTGGCCTCCATCTAGCTGCAGATCCCCTAACCTGCCCCAGTGTTCTTAGGCCGCATGAGAGTCATCAGCTCCCAAAGTGCCCTTTAGCTTTCTGCAGCGTTTCCAGCTCTGAACAGTATTCCCAACCTCTTAGAGTGCACCTGAGCCCCCCAGTGTCCTTCAGTCTCCCACAGTGTCCCTGAAAAAACCCAGAGCCCCCTAACCCTCCAGAGCCCATAGAGTTGGGCCAAGCACCCTCAAGAAACCTCATCATCTACAACACCACAAAGTTTGTTGCATAGTCCCCTAACCCCGTCCAGAACTCACACCCTCTGAAAGTGACATCTACCAACAGCTGAGAAACATGCAGGGAAATTCCATAAAGCATTTATGACACTTTTCCGCTATGACCCCTTAAAATGGCCTGTGCAAATAAAAAAATTTCTGCTGACAGTTTCTGTAGCTTTACCAAAACATGCAGCAATTTCAGGTATTTCTTAATAGCGCCACTTTTATAAAGTGGCATTGTGGTTGCACTAAATTAAAAAAAGAATTACCTCCAGTTTGTAGATGATGAAACAGAAAGTAATTAAGACAAACTCTAAAATGGCATCCAGAGACAAGAAGAGTGCCTGCCTCTTTAGTTTGTATAGCGGGGTGGCTTGAATGCCTCTGATACCCCTTCCCTCCCCACCTATCACTTGTTGTCAAGGATGCCATTGGCTTCACAACCAACAGACTCCTAGCAACTAGTGATGCTGACAGTGGGCGGGGCCTGATGGAGGAAGCTAATGGACTTCCCATCATTAGAATTTCTGAAGAACCCTCTGCACACTGGTATATACCCTTTCAAGCAGACTATGCAATAAATAGGGATATTTAGTTCACACATATTGCAATACATGCTTAAGCTGGCCAACTGCGTCAAAGTAATCCCTCTATGGCCAGTCCTACTCTGCTCTGCCTACGCAAATGCTACTGTGGACACAATGCTAACATAAGGGAAAGACACAATGGGGAGAGCTACAAACTGGTCCTTCTGTCACGAGTTGGTGAGAAAGGCAGGGGTCGGACGCCGCGTTCCGTCACACAGTCCCCTTTAGGATACTTAAAAAGAGCTAGAAGGGTCAACGTTTTTAATAATATCCAAATAAAACAAAACAGGAGTACTCACATACTGCTGGCTGACAACATTGCTGCAAACTTTTAGTTTTCCTGGGGGGGTATTTAACTACTGATTTTTTTGAAGCTCTATAAAGGCACCAACAATTCAAGAAAATCTAGAAATGTAGTAAGGGCATGGGAAGTAAGAGAGTCATTCCATGGACAAAGTCACGTTTCTTTATGGCAAAGTCATTACAAAAAGTGGTTATAGGAGAAAAATAAGAGTGGTGGTAGAATGATAACATTCTGCACAGAGTAGCAGGTAAGGCTGTACCCAATATGTAGTTTGCTTTACTAAGAGACTTCTAGTATGATTTTGTACAGTTGTACTGACTGCACAAGCACACAGAATATGCCTACGGCTTCTTGGCTTTAGGATCAGTAACACCCTTGAAAGGCATCCAACTGAGACAAACTTTGCAGAGACATATCTGATAGGAGGATTCCACTGGGAAGTTTTGTGATAAGAGTATATCTATAGAGAAATAACTAGTTGTGTTGACATTCGCACATTCAAGATGTTTGTGCCTTTTTTTTTTTACTTTCTACAGTCTTTCCATGATTGCTTTTTACTGATAAGGACAAGCTGCCTCCTGCAACAGTCAGGACCTTGTCAACTCCAATCATCTAAAAATATTTAGATCTGCTCTACCCACAAGCAGTGGAATTATTAGCCTCAAAACTGGAGCAGATCAGCTGCAGAGAGCTCTTGTAGTGATGCATCATGTTTGTTAGCTGCTAAATGTATTTATAGCAGGAAAATATAATACTGCCATACATAGAGAAATCTTTAGGTCCATAAAATATTTATTTATTAATTAGTTTTTTGTATAAGTTGAATGCACAGGCTTGTAATGATGGAAACAGTACAAAAGTATGCTGATTTGCTCTTTAAAAGCTCTTTAATTCTAAGCTGTGGCTGTGTACAGACTTGCATTCCCAAGAATGCATCTTCACTTCAATTTTATGCAATTATCTGTTTTACCCTGTAGGTTTACAGACAGAGCATTCTGTTTCCCGGCTGAGCAGATCAATTGCTTAATTTATGAGATGCAAGTCACATCCTATAGCTATTAGAAATTTACATTCATTAACACCAAAAGCTTTTCTAAAACTAGAGAACACTCTGCTCCATTTCTGTATTCCCAGTTTCCATCAATTCTGGATTTAGATTGTACACCCAGTTTGTTTCCATGTAACACAAAAACACATTTTTCTAAAACTGTGTCATCAGCTCAGTACAAATGCGTTCATTGTCAGAAT